TGGCCTGAGGGAGCGGTGGAAGACGGCCCATGACCTAGGGGACCTGAACCCACATGGGAGACCCAGAGGAAGCTCCTGGCTCCTGGCTTCAGATTGGCTCAGCTCTAGCCATGACAGCCATTTGGGGAGTGAACCAGACCTTTCCCTCTGTCTCCTTCTCTCTGTAAACTGCCTTTCCAATCAGCGTGATGAGTTAAGCAAGGGCAGCAGCAGCAGGCCTAGGGTGCTGGATGGCCCTTTTCCATGCCCTGTCTGGGGCGTCAGTGGCCCTCGGCCGGGCCGTTGTCCAGCAGTAGCCCTTCAGCACTGGGCCTGTGGGAGCTGGCCTCTGGTGATCCGGCCAGGCTGTCCTGGGCTGCCTGGGGCACAGAGCCTTGCTTGCTGTCCATCCTGTTGTCAGCCAGACCTCGCTTACCCCACCCCAGAGGACAGCCCTGTGCTGCCACCTGGCCAGGGGCCGCCTGTGGGCGGGGTGTCTTGGCCTCCGGGGCTGCCGCCAGGTGGGCCCTCACCAGCCCCTTACACCTGGTGACCTCACTGCTGAAAGCCCCCGTCCCCGACGGTGGACCCTGCCAGGGAGGCGGGCTCTGCATTCCCCGCGTGCTGGACAAGGCTGTGGCGGCAGCCGCGGAGGCGCCAGTGTGGACCCTCTGTTGGATTTCCCCACTTAGATCTCCCTGCAATCCACACTCAGGTGCCTCCTGCTCCACATGTGGTCCATGGAGGCTGGCATTGGCCCTCCATCGCCTGCCCTAGAGCGGGTTAGGGCACCAGAAACCCCCGGCTCCAGCTGGCAGGCAGCAATGTCTGGCAAGTGTGGCTTTGGGGCCCGATGAGCTGGGTGACCCGGAGCTGCAGGAGGTTCACGCACGGGCTGTGGGGCTTGAAGACGCGTGTCCTCCCAGCCCTGGCAGGTGGGACAGCCCCAGGAGACGGCCGGTGGCTCAGGCTGTCCTGCCTGGGTGTCCCCTTCTTGCTGCGTCCTCACAGTGGACGGTCAGGTGGCTCCCACAACTCGTCCTCTTACGGGGCCCCCATGGCCGCTGCTGCTCATGAACTTGGAGCAGGCAGAGCATTCTGTCCGTGCCAGCCGGCCCTGTGGGGGTGACCGGCGTGCCCTGGTCTGCCTGAACTCTGTGCCTGTGTGACGTCCTTCTGCGCAGAACCCCCGTGGGCTGATCTCCGTTGCTTTGGAATCTGTGTTTCTGCGTTCTGGGGCTCTGAGCATTCTGGAAGAGGTGGCTACTGTCTTCTCGCTGTCCCCCAAGCTGACGCTGCTTCCCCACTGGCCGCCGCCCCTGAGTTTGTGCCGTTTTCTGGACAAACCGGCTAAGCCTCCCGTCAGGCCCCTGCGATGAGCCGCGCCACCGTGTGGGGGTTTGCTGGGCTTTCCACGCTTGCCAACCACAGGCATCTGTCTCCAGGACTCAGAGCAAGCTGTTCTTCAGTTGGCTCTTTGTGCCTTTTCCTTGTCTTCAACTGTTAAATTTTTCTTTCAATATTTCAAAACAATTTGCATTATTTTCTGTATTACGTGCACGCTGGTGCTTTAAACCACCACTCACATGTTCAGCGTCTCCAGCCAGCCTTCCTTGGTGCCCCCCGAGGTGTGGCTACCCGACGTGGTGCTCCCCATTCGGAACCAAGGCTCACAACAGAGACCATGCCACCCTGTGGTCAGGAAAGTCGCAGACAACACCAGTCTAGACATGGACAATGTCCCTGGTCCCACTCACGGGAGCAGCTGCAGAATCACAGCCCATGGAGGAGCGGGTGTAGGGCAGGTGACAGCTGCCAGGCCAGTCAGAGGGTCCCAAGGCCGGAGGGGCCATCCCACACTGCTGAGTGCTGCTGCTTCTGGGGGGCGTGACCTGGCCCCGGCCCTGGGAGCCCCGGCCCTGGGAGCCCCGGCCCTGGGAGCCTCGGCCCTGGGAGCCCCGGCCCTGGGAGCCCCGGCCCTGGGAGCAGAGCTTGTCTCCATCGGGCACCTGGAGACGCCACCCACTGGGACTGGTTTGAGCTGGTTTCTCAGCGGGAGGTCTCCTGGGACACACAGTTGTGTACAGCGTTCAGTCTGTGCCACCATTGCTGGAGAATTCCAGAGAGAAGCGCATCACTTCTGGTTTAGAATTCTTTCGGAAAACAACTTTCAGAAATGTTTCAACTTTGATACGGACAGGGTCCTTGGCTGCTCAGGGCGAGTAGCAGCTCGCGGAGGAGCGCCCCTCCTGTCTAGACCCCAAAGAGCAAGCGTGCTTTGAGGGGTCCGCCATGCAGCTCTGGGTGGAAGGGGCCATGCTGGCTTCCCGTCCCCTGGGTCTGAGGCTGCCCCTTCCCAGGGCAGTGGTCTCAGGCAGTCGGCATCCCCCACCGAAGGGAGCAGGGGGTGGGCCTGACCAGGAGGGGCCGTGGGGAGGTCGTGCCCTCCTCACCAAGAACCCCTAGCGTCCTCCCTCCAGGCCTGTGCCTTTGAACTTGTACAAGAGCCTCCGGCTGACAGGATCACGGCGCGGACGGCAGGTGTGCCCGCGTCCACACTCGCAGGCTCCCCTGCTTGACCGCTGGGTGTAGTTGTCACAGCAGCCCACTGAGGGGCTGCATTGCTGCTCACTGAACCCCTGCCTTTGTTGGGGCTCCTGGGCTGCCCCTCCCGTCTCCCCAGGCCCACGAACATGCAACTTCTCATACCTGCCCTGTGCCATGCTCCGGCCTGGAGCACAGCCGAAGGCCTCACTCAGCGCGCCCCAGCTGGGCTTAGCTGGCCGTGAGCAGACCGGGATCACGTGTTACGGGGAGGCAGCTGCCCTCCATGGAGGACTGTGCGTGCCCGGCTGAATTCCACGGGCAGCTCTGCCTGCCGGCCCTCGTGCAGGGTCGGCATGGAATCACGGGCCATTCTTTTATCCCTTGGGGTGTATGCAGTTCCCCGTAAGCTGCAGTGTATGCCCCACCACCGTGTCCCCCAGCTCCGCTGTTGGCACCACAGAAGGGCTGGGGGGACTCCCCATACTCTGGGGTGCTTGTCTCAGAAAAGGGGTTCCCCAGCAGGCCCAGAAGGGGGTTCACACTGCTGCTGTGTGGGAAGAGCCAGCCGAACCCCTGGGGGCAGGGAGCTAAGCTCACGTGCCCCCCCGCCCCCAGCCTGGGACCCGGCGGCAGGGACCACTCTAACTCCCGCCTGGCTTCTCATAACCGGCGCTGCGGCAGACAGAACAGGCCACCTGCGGGACACTGCTATTCTGCTACATTCCCACAATTACAGCAGAGGCAGAGACAGGGAAGGGAAGGGGAGGAGGTGGGGAGACAGGGGATGGAGGAACGGCCCAGCCCACGCCCCGGTGTCTGAGGTGCTGTGCTGGGCGCCCATCCCACCGGTTGGATTGCGTGATGTAGCCCACACATGATGCTGGTCCCCCGTGCTCTGATGAGGGCTGTCCCCAGATCTTTTGCCCTCAAAGAAACCTGTTTTGTTCATGAATTTGCAAGAGACACCCCCTCCGCTGGTCCACTCGCCAGACGCCCTCAGCAGCCAGGGCTGGGCCAAGCCGGACACAGAGGCTTTGAACTCAGCCCTCAGCTCCCACTCAGGCGACAGGCTGTCGCCTGCCACCTCCCGGCACCCAACCCAGGCCTTCCAGGACGGCTGACCCAACACCCACCCCCACCACTTTGTAATGGAGTTGTTTCCTTATTGCCGAGGTCCAGGGTTTCTTTTAGACTTGGGATATGTCCAGATTGCGCAAGGATCTTCCCCCAGATGTGGGGCCTGTCCATTCTCTTAGCAAACCTTCCACAGCTTCCAAGTCACAAACTTGACTGAGGTCTGACCGGTCACCTTGCTGCTCGCCTCACGGGTCATACTCTCCGTGCTGTGTTTAAGCCACCACCGACGCAAAGCCCTGGGCATTCTTGCAGGAAGGACACGGTTTACATGCGTGTGGTTCACGGCAGCCGGTTCTGGGTGCGGTGTCAGGTGCTTCGGCGCAGCGTCACGCACCCGCCCTCTGCTGTGGCCTGTTGCCCAGACGTTGCTTGAGGCAGCCATTCTTTGTGCGACGCGTCACCGTTGCTGCTGAGTCAGATGAAACTAACTTTCAGTCCCGGTCCTCCGTCCTTTCGCTCTGACTCTCGTGTGGCCCTCTTGGCCAGCTCCGTGCAACTCGGCTGGCAAAGCCCCACGGCAGCTCCAACACGCTCCCGCAGGGTTGCCAGAGGTTCTGCCTCTCCAATACAAACTACAAAAAAAGTTGGCCGGGAATTTCCTTGGCACTGTTAAGCCTATGGAGCAGGGATGGGCATTTGAGTGTGCCAGCTCAGATGCCCACCTGGCTTCAGCACCTCGCTCAGCAGTTGCTTCTGGCTTCCCATCTGTGGGGCAGACGTGAGCGCCACGTCACGGGCACCTGTCACCCCAGCCGGCATGAGCCATACTGAGTGCCCAGCTCCCGGAGCCTGCGGGGCGCCTTTCTGTGCCCCCTTCCCACCAGGTGTCTATGCCTGCCTGCTGGCTTAGCACCTGGGCACCGATCCCCCATGGAGTGTATCCCCAACAGACAGGGCTCCAGGGAGCCTCCTGTGCCTGAGGGGACATGAGTGGTGGAAGCAGACGGGCTGTCAGGGAGGGGTCCCTGCAGGGTTGGCTCAGGCCCAGCGCTGAGCTGAGCGTGTCTCTCCCCAGGGAAGCAGCTGTCACCCATATCTAGCCGCCCGTGCTTCTCCAAGGAAGAAAGGACCATTGTAAATCGAGAACCCCGAGGTAGCGGCCCCAGCGAAGGGGAGCCCCGCCCCACCCTGCCTGTGGGGCTGCGGGGTGCAGTGAGGCAGGGGCTGTGGAGACTTCTGAGGAGTCGCTGCACTGCTCGGCAGGAGAGCCCCGAGACCTGCCCCACTAACCTGGGGTCGGGGGCGGGACCGAGATCTGGCTCCGCCCATGCCGACCCTGGCCACGCCCAGCTGGTCTGCAGTCCGGCACTCACGGGTTCCTTGCCCCTTGCCCGCAGCGATCAGAGGGTCCCGGGAGGCTGAGGTGTGCACCACCCCTGGCTGTGTGATGGCGGGTAAGCCTCCCAGCCCCGTGGGCCCTGCCTGGAGGGGGTGAGGGGAGGAGAGGTCCCGTCAAGGTGTTGTGGTAAAAGGGTGAAAAGGCCCAGGTGGCCCTCTGAGGGCGGCGTCCCTGCCCCTCTCCATCCCCAGGATGGCCCAGGGACCCAGACACCTAGAGTTCGAGGGAGGGGCCTGGGCAGGGTGCTAGGGTGCAGGTCCAGCTGGAACGCCTCGACCTCCCATCCCTGGACACCCAGGGTTCCTGGAGTGCAACCACCCCTCCAGCTGCCCCTCTCAGGGACTGACTTGGGGTTCACGGGGCTCAGGTCCCGCCTCTTCCACTGGGCTGCCTCCCCACCCCTGGCTGGGGCCCAGCGGGCTGCATCACAGACCAAGGAGGCGCCAGCTCCCCACCTCCCCGCTCCCCTGGGGCACACGGCTGCTGTCCCACAGTCCCTCAGGCCAGGACACGGGCTAGGTGGCCATCCACAACCGACCCCTCCTCCTCCCCTGGGGACGGGCAGCCGCCAGGATCCTGCAGAACATGGACCCCTCCAAGGAGCCCTGCGACGACTTCTACCAGTACGCCTGTGGGGGCTGGCTGCGGCGTCACGTGATCCCGGAGACCAACTCTCGCTACAGTGTCTTTGACATCCTCCGGGATGAGCTGGAAGTCATCCTCAAACGTGAGGCTGGCCCTGCCCCTGGACAGGAGGGTCCTCCACCCCGCCCCAGAGGACTGCCCCCCGCCCCTGGACAGGAGGGTTCCCCACCCCAGAGGACTGCCCCCCAACCCTGGACAGGAGGGTCCCCAGTCCTGGACCAGGACAGCCCCGCCGCCCCTAGACAGAACTGCCCTCACCCCTGGACCAGGACAGCCCCCCAACCCTGGACAGGACTGCCCACCAGGTGAGGTCATGCCCCCCTGACCTCCACCTCACAGAAGCCCACCTGCATTTCATAGGGTGGGGGAGTCCCCAGTGCAGAGGCCTGCGGGGCACACATGGCCTGGAGCCCAGCAGGTGCCTGCTCTACCCACAGGGGTGCTGGAGAACTCCAGTGAGGAGGACCGGCCGGCCGTGGCAAAGGCCAAGACGCTGTACCGTTCCTGCATGAATGAGAGTGAGCGGCATGGCCGGGGAGGGGGGGAGGCAGGGGCCAGTCCAGCTCTGGACCCCACAGTGGCCCCCACAGGAGTGCATGAGGACAGACGAAGGCCACTTGGGACTCTGCACTGCACCCCAACCTGGCCACTGCTGCTGGCCACCCCGTGACGTCAGGCACACTACACCCCAGCCCAGGCTGCACTGCAGGAGAGCAGGGTGACGGTGGGAGACCTGCCTGGAGCCCCTGTGTGCGCATGTCTGCATGCGTGCTTGGGTGTGTCTGAGGGGCACATTCAGAACATCCGTGCGTTTCCATGAGTGTGTCGGAGGCGCTGAGCGTGTTTCTGTGTGCTGTATGTGTAGCGACGTGCGTGTGAGCTAGATCAGCACACGCCGTCAACACGCGCAGCACTCACGGGAAATACACCTTGTGGAAACCCATTCAGTCTCCAAAAATATCCACCCTTGTCCTGCCTCCCGTGAGCTCTGGAAGCAGCGTGGTGAGTGTGCCTGTGCACGGAAGGCACGGAGTGCGCTGATGTGCGGTGTCTGCACTGTGGGTGGCTGTGCGCGGTGTGCACGGATCACGTGGCACGGATCACGTGGCACGGGCGTAGAGATTGTGTAGTACTGTGAGGAAGCATATGTGTGGACACGTGTGGATGTGATGCACATGTGGGCACATGTATGTGTGTGGTGTGACATGGACATGTGTGTATGCGTATTGGACACGTGTGGGTGTATGTGAACATGTGTGTGGTGTTTGTATGGGTGTGTGGTGTGTGATGCATGTATGTGTATGCGGACATGTGTGGGTGTGTGCTGCTTGTGGACACATGTGTGTGAACATGTGTGTGGACATGTGTGTGAACATGTGTGTGGACATGTGTGTGGACATGTGTGGTGTGTGTTGATGTGTGTGCGTGTGTAGACACAGGTGTGGATGTGTGTGATGCACATATGGGCGCGTGCATGTATGTGTGTTGCATGCATGTGGACATGTGTGTGGTATGTGTATGGGTGTGTGTTGACGTATGTATGTATGTGGACACACATGTGGATGTGTGTGATGTGCATGTGGACATGTGTGTTTCCGTGTCCTGGCTCCTCCCACTCGGGGCAGCCGGAGGGCGGGCGTTGTGTCCTGCGTGCCTGGCTGGGACTCCTGGGGACCCCAACTCATGGAGGCTTCTGCCAACAAAATCAGCAGCTGCAGACTGGCCAGTGCCCACCAGCTGAGAGGTGCTTCCTCTGTGGAACCCCCTTTCCTCTCTCCCTGACCCCAAAGCTCTCCTGTCCAGGAGGAATGTGGCTAGTAGCACAGCTCGGCAGCAAAGGGAGCCGGCCCCTACAGACCTGCTCGGCTGCCCCGGCGGCTTCCCCTCTTGCCCTCCCTGCTGCACTCCTGCCACCCACGTGGCAGCAGGCCGAGCAGCCTCAGCAGAGCCGCCCAGGCCTCCTGTCCGCCTGCCTGAGGCCTCTGCCCCCTAGGGCCACCTGGTCTTTGAGAGACTCCCACTGTGTGACAGCCCAGCACCCACAGTCAGTGGCTGAGGGACAGGCTGTGCTGAGGGACAGCCTCCTGCCCTGCAGGTGTGATAGAGAAACGGGACTCCCAGCCCCTGCTGGACATCCTGGACATCGTGGGAGGCTGGCCAGTGGCCATGGACAACTGGAATGAGACCGTGGGTAAGGCCGGAGCCACGCACCTCTCCTGGGCGACCCTCAAGGCATGGCCATGCAGGGCCGACCTCAGGGTCCAGCTGGGCTCTGGGTCCTTCCAGCTTCACAGAGGGGCAGTCCTCCTGGGCTCTCCCTCTGCCAGGGAGGCTGTGACTTCCACACCCAGGCTCAGGCCTGCCCCTGCCACGGAGAGCAGAGGCAGCGAGCCCTGGGGCCCCGGGGGGAGGCACGTGCCGTCTGCTGCTGCAGTCTTGGGGTGAAAGAGCTGGCCGTCCAGGGTCGGGCTGGCTGCCTCCGTGGAGCTCCAGGACCCCTCGCCGGCCTGCATCCGAGCACTGCCTCCCCAGGCCCGCGGTGGGAGCTGGAGCGGCAGCTGGCGGTGCTGAACACACAGTTCAACAAGCGTGTCCTCATCGACTTCTTCATCTGGAACGACGACCAGAATTCCAGCCGCCATATCATCTACGTACGTGCCCACCCCACCTCGGCCACGCCGGCCCCGGGGCCACGGCAGGGTGGCTCCCACGGGCCTGGGGGAACGAGCCTCGGGGGCCCCACCGGCCACACAGAAGCACACGTGTAGTCGACATGCGTGCCCCTGAGGGAGAGACACGGCCAGGACTCTGACTGGAGGCCATCCTGTGGGGCTGCCTGCCACCCCGGGATTGCGGGAGGTCTTGGGGTCCTCCAGGTGCAGTCCTGGGGCCCTGCCCCCTCGCGCGCTGCAGCGCCCTCATGCCCTCTGCTTGCAGATAGATCAGCCCAGCCTGGGCATGCCGTCCCGTGAGTACTACTTTAACGAAGGTACCAACAGGAAGGTGAGCCCCCGTGGGCAGGTACACCGGGTGAGGGACGGGGAGGGTGGAGCTCGGCACGGGCAGCCCAAACCCACAGTGCCTCCAGGGAGTGAGGCGGGCAGCGCCAGGCCCGGCCCCCGCCGCCTTCCTGCCCCCTGTGTGCAGGGTCCTGCGGCCGAGGCCCACCCAAGGGCATCCTAGGACTGCCCCGTGTCGTGGGAGATGTGTGGGGGCCGTGGTTCCAAGGCCGCCAGCCTGCACCACCCCTCTGGCAGGTGCGGGACGCCTACCTGCAGTTCATGACGTCGGTGGCCTTGATGCTGCGAAAGGATCTGAACCTCCCCACGAACGGCTTCCTCGTGCGCCACGAGATGGCGCAGGTGCTGCAGTTCGAGACACAGCTGGCCAATGTGAGGTGGGGCCGGGGGCAGGGCGCGCGGGGCCTGGGGGCCGGGCCCAGGTGACCACCGGCCCTGCGCAGGCCACGGCGCCCCAGGAGGAAAGGCATGACGTGACCGCCCTGTACCACAGGATGGATGTGGGAGAGCTGCAGAGCAAGTTTGGCCTGAAGGTGAGGCTGGTGCGGGTGGAGAGGGGCAGCGCCACGCCGCGCGGGCGCATCCCTGCCGACGCCGCCCCACCCAGCCCCGGCCGCGGAGGGGCCCACGGCAGATCCACAGAGGGCTGAGCCTGTCTCAGGAAGGAGCGGGACTCCAGGCCTGAGGCAGGCACTGCCCAGTCCAGCTGTGGGATGGGGGCAGGGCACAGACCAGCGTGGACCTGGGGAGGAGCCAGGGCCCAGGGTCGACACCAGGGAACGGCTGGGGGAGGGAATGATGGCTGCAGGGGTGCGGGGGCAGGAACAGGGGCTCACTGCGCTGGGCGGAGGCCCTGGCCTCTCGCCCCTGCCTCTCACTGACAGTTCCCAGTTCTTTTTGCCTGCACTCCCCTGTGCTGGAGCCCTCCCTAGCTTTGGGATCTACCCCCATATGCACCCTTGGGCGCTGCACCCAGGGCATTTCTGCCAGGCCTGCTCTAGCAGCCCTTCTCAACCTGCAGCTCCTTCTCAAAGTTCCTGTGAAAGTCTGTGCCTGGCACAAGTGCAGGAGACACGCAGCCAGGGCCCCTGGACCGTGCCCTGGACCGTGCCCTGGACCGTGCCCCAGACCATGCCCCGGGCCGTGCCCAGATTCCGAGGCTGAGGGTGCGGTCAGCGGCTAGCGGTGGACTCAGCTGGCACCCAGCTGGTGCCCAGCAGCTCCTCTCTGCTCTTTCCTTCGTGGCCCCTGGGTCTCCAGGGTACTAGCTTGTGCAACCTACAGGAAGGTTGTTCTGCATCCTCATTTAGATTCAAAGGAGTTTAAAGAAAAGTTGTTTGAAAGAGTGACTCCCCAGAGGGCTGCGCTGGCCGGGTCTCTCCTGTACACGACAGGGGCCCAAGGACTTGGTCATCTTCCACTGCTTCGCCCGACCCTTTGGGGGGAGCTGGAGCGAAAGTGGAGCAGCCAGGCTCGGAGCTGGTACCCAGATGGGGTGCCGCAGTGTCAGCCCTCCAAGGTGGTCTCTGGAATGGTTTGGTTGTCAGTGGATCAAGGATCCAGTCACCTTTCTCCCTGGCCAGTGCCCCCGGGGGTAAAGCTGTGCTCAGCACCAAGGGCGGCAAGGCGGCTGTCCACCCGGGGCTGGCTTCCAAGCTTCCTGTCATTCCATAAGGGCAAGCCTCCCCTGACGCGCCGGGCCGTGGGCACCTCTGTTAGGGTCTGGTGTGTGTCACTGTGAGTGTCTGTACGTGTGCCCACAGGTGTATCAATGTGGGTGTGTGTGTCCACGTGTGTGTCCGTGTGTGTATGTGTGTCTGTGTGTATGTGTCCACGCGTGTGTCTACGTGTGTCCACGCGTGTGTCCGTGCTCCTCGGTTTTCCGGACCCGCCTTGGTCGCACCACTTCCCTCCTGTGTCCCCCTGACTGCCCCCAGCTGAGCCCACACTGCCCTCGGAGCTGTCTTCATCAGCTTCTGAAACACGAAGCAGCTCCCGCCGGTGCCGTGTCCTGGGCTCGGGTGGGAGCCGCTGTGACCCCCGGGTTTGGGGAAGACAGCCAGCCCCACCGACAGGCTCCTGCAGTCCGGGAGCTGCACGCCACCCAACCCGTCGGCCCCTGCCGAGTCTCCGTTGGCTCTCCCCCGACCCAGCAGCTCCACACCCCGAGTCCTGGGTCGGGCTGTCACAGCCAGGCCCCTCCTTCCATGAGCCCCCCCATCCCTTCTGCCAGGACCCCTTTCCCGGGAGACAGGGCACTCCTGCCACTCAGGCCCTGAGACTTGGGACACACACGTGCCCGACTGTGCCCGTGACCTGGGATTCCGTGGCCCCTCTTGCCCGCTGCCGTGGCGCACGGCACTGCCTCCTTTCTGATTTCTTTGAAAGGCAGAGTTGAGAAAGCCTTCCCGAGACTGGCTCACTGTGTAGATGGCCACAACGGCCAGGACCAGCCAGCCGTCAGGAGCCCCACATGCGGGCGCGGGCCACCTGGGCCGTCCTTCAGGGCTGTTGGCACCAAGCCGGTTGAGAAGTGGGGCAGCCGGGACTGACCACGTGGGATGCCTAAACGGACAGCAATGAAAACAGGCCTGGCCTATCGTGACACCTCTGGCGCCACGGCTAGCCGGGCCTCGCACGTACAGTTGAGTTCCCTGACCGGCAGACTCCACTGACGCAGCCATGTGGCCCCCCAAAGCTCTTTGGGGACCATTTTAAATGGACCGTTCTGTTGCTTTTACCCGAGACCACACGTGCCTGCTGCTTTGGCCGTCTTGCTAAGCTGTGCGTTCCCAGACTCCCAAGGTCGGGGTGCCCCCCGTGTGTGGGCTTCAAGGCAAGGCCACCTCCTTCCACACTGTCCCCTCTGACGCCAGGGACCACGTCCTGCCTCTCTCCGCCCCCAGGGGTTTAACTGGACGCTCTTCATACAAACGGTGTTGTCCTCCGTGAGGCTCAAGCTCCTGCCAAACGAGGAGGTGGTGGTCTACGGCATCCCCTACCTGCAGAACCTCGAGGACATCATCGACCTGTTCCCGCCCAGGTGGGGCCCCGCCAGCGGCCCTCCCGCGGTGCTGCCCCGCCCCGGCCGGCCCTCCACCCTCCCCCTCCCTGCCTCCCCCTCAGGACCATGCAGAACTACCTGGTCTGGCGTCTCGTGCTGGATCGTGTCAGCAGCCTGAGCCAGCGCTTCAAGGATGCCCGTGTCAACTACCGCAAGGTGAGGAGACGGGCAGCGGCCCCGCCCCCACTGCACCTGCTCGGCTTAGGAAACCAGGCCTCGGCCACAGGAGTCCACGGAGGCCGTGACCGAGGCGCTTCTGCCGTCCCTGGAGGCCCAGGGGATGGAGGCATACACAACCCAGGAGGGCCAGCTCCTAGAGGGCTCCGGGGCAGGACCCAGAAGGACAGCCTCACTGGTGCCTGGGAAGCAGAAAAGCCCACCACCCAGGAGGGGGCAGCCGAGGGCTCAGAGAGGGACAGCGGATCCTCCTCCCAGCAGGGGCACTCATGTGCTCCCCTGTGCCCCCTGGCCCTGCAGGCGCTGTACGGTACCACGGTGGAGGAGGTGCGCTGGCGGGAGTGCGTCAGCTATGTCAATAGCAACATGGAGAGCGCCGTGGGCTCGCTCTACGTCAGGGAGGCCTTCCCCAGGGACAGCAAGAAGAGGGTGAGTGGCCACTGCCCCAGCCCAGCTTCTCACACACACACCATGCCCCACTGCTGCTCCTGGCTAGGCCTGGCTGACCCCACACACCTGTGCACCCCAAAATATACACTGGAATAGCACACACACACTATACCCCTACTCTTGGCAAGGCATGACCGACTCCCCCCACACATACACACTGGGACTTCCACTCCTGGCTAGGCCACCCTGTTCCACCTCCAGCAACAGCTTATGTGCAGTGGCACCTGCTGGTGGCGGAGAGTAGCAAGTGAGAGGCCGAGGAGGGTCAGGGCCCACCCTGGCCCATCCCCCCGGGCTCCGCAAGTCCACTGCCATCCTGCAGGGTGCCCGGGGACAGGCTGCCCCGTCTCTCCCAGACTCCGTGGGTCCACCACCGTCCTGCAGGGTGCCTGGGGACAGGCTGCCCCGTCTCTCCCAGACTCTGTGGGTCCACCACCGTCCTGCAGGGTGCCCGGGGACAGGCTGCCCCGTCTCTCCCAGACTCTGTAGGTCCACCACCGTCCTGCAGGGTGCCCGGGGACAGGCTGCCCCGTCTCTCCCAGACTCTGTAGGTCTGCTGCCATCCCGTGTGGCATCCGGACACTGGCTGTCCTGTCTCCCCCAGACTCCGCTGCTGTCCTGCAGGGCACCTGGGGCATCATTCTACTCCGCCCCTCACTGGGAGGCCCCAGACACCCTGGGCCTCGTCCCAGAGGTGCTGCAGGTGGAACCCCCAAAGCCTGACATTGCTGCGTGGCCCCCAGGTCAGGGAGCTCATCGACAAGGTACGGGCCGTGTTCGTGGAGACCCTGGACGAGCTAAGTTGGATGGACGACGAGTCCAAGAGGAAGGCCCAGGAGAAGGTGAGCATCAGAGAGGGCAGGCTGGGCTGACCCAGAGGGAGCCCGGCCTGGGAAGGGGCTTGGGGGTCTAGTCAGCAGGTCTGGCTGCCCCATCACGCCATCGCCCCTGCCTCACTTTCCCTCCAAGGCCATGAGCATCCGCGAGCTGATCGGCTACCCTGACTATATCCTGGAGGAAAAGAACAGGCACCTGGACGAGGAGTATTCCAATGTGAGCCCCCACCCCCGATCCCAGACCCCCACCAACCCTCGACCCCGACCCCAAAGCTTTTTGGTACCAGGGAGGGGCACGCAGCCACCCTCACCCCGCCCTGGGCTACCAGTGAGGACACTGGCTGTCGTCCCGCAGCTGAACTTCTCAGAAGACCTATACTTCGAGAACGGCCTGCAGAACCTCAGGGCTGGGGCCCAGAGGAGCCTCAAGAAGCTGCGGGAAAAAGTGGACCAAAACCTGTGAGTGCTGCGGCCTGCACAGGCATGCATGCCCAGCCACAGGGCCAGGAGGCTGGGCTCAGGGGCCGGCTACCCGCCTTGGGCTGGGCTCAGGGGCAGGCTGCCCGCCTTGGGCTGGGCTCAGGGGCAGGCTGCCCGCCTTGGGCTGGGCTCAGGGGCAGGCTGCCCGCCTTGGGCTGGGCTCAGGGGCCGGCTGCCCGCCTTGGGCTGGGCTCAGGGGCAGGCTGCCCGCCTTGGGCTGGGCTCAGGGGCAGGCTGCCCGCCTTGGGCTGGGCTCAGGGACCCCGACTGCTGGCTGCCCACCTTGGGCTGGCCCACAGCCTTGGCTGGCATGGTCCCTGTGACCTGGGTCTCCAGGGTGGGCTCTGGTCAGCCGGGGTGGGTCCAGGAGGTTCGGGCTGCGTGTGACAGGTGTGTCTGTCACAGCTGGATCATCGGGGCTGCAGTAGTAAACGCCTTCTACTCGCCAAACCGAAACCAGATCGGTACGCTGCCCACCCCTCCCTGGTGACCCCAGGAGGGTCGGGAAACTGCACAACCCCCGCCATGATGACCCCCTGGAGGCTTGGTACCCCTGCAGGGTTGGCACACTCAATCCTCCCTACCCCAGGCCCCCAGGAGGGTCGGGACATTCACCCCTCCCCGCCCTGATGACCCCCAGGAGGGTCAGTACACCCCGGGACCCCTGCAGGTGCAGCTGCTCTCAGAGCAGGGGGGCAGGCTTCCTCTCACACCCCCACAGAAGCGTTGGGGAGACCCGACAGCAGCACCGCAGAGTGAGGCATGAAGGTTGGCCTCGGGCACCAGGTCTGCCCCGGGGGCTCCAAGCTCAGTCTCCTTGTCCCCGACTGGGGGGTCAGGGTCCCAGCCCCACCTCTGGCAATGGGGCTCGGCACCAAGCCCCTGGCAGGCAGGCTCCGGCCAGAGCCGCTCACTGCCCTCTGCCCCACTGCGCCCAGTGTTCCCAGCCGGGATCCTGCAGCCCCCCTTCTTCAGTAAGGAGCAGCCACAGGCCTTGAACTTCGGGGGCATCGGGATGGTGATCGGCCACGAGATCACACATGGCTTTGATGACAACGGTAAGCGGGGCTTCCCACAGCGGCCTCCTCGGGCTCAGCTCCGCCGAGCAGCCCCTGCGGTGTAGGCCTCCCGGCTGTGCCCCCGGCCCCAGGCTGCAGGCACTCGGCTCTGCCCCTGACCCGAGCCCTCAGCACTGGGCCTGCCAGCGGGGGTGTGGGCAAGGTGGACAGGGAGCACGGGCCGCCCACCCCTGCCCAGGCCGGAACTTCGACAAGGACGGCAACATGCTGGACTGGTGGAGTAACTTCTCGGCCCAGCACTTCCGGGATCAGTCACAGTGCATGATCTACCAGTACGGCAACTACTCCTGGGACCTGGCAGACCAGCAGAACGTGAGCGGAGGCCCCGCGGGGGACCCTGACCCAGCCCCGAGCCCCGGCCGGGCCCAGTCCGCCTCCCAACTCCTCTGTACAGGTGAACGGCTTCAGCACGCTCGGGGAGAACATCGCCGACAACGGTGGAGTGCGGCAGGCCTACAAGGTGGGTCCCCGGAGTGCGCAGGCGCAGGAGGGCAGAGCCTGCTTGGGCAGCGGAGGGCTGCTGGGGGACGGAGCCCAGGCAGCGGAGGGCCTGGGGGGGCAGCAGAGGGCCTGGGGGGGGCAGCAGAGGGCCTGGGGGGGCAGCGGAGGGCCTCCTGGGGGCGCGAAGCCTGTACAGCAGAGAGCCTCCTGGGGCCAGGGCAACAGAGGCTGGCTCCCGCCTGGGTCGGTCCTGCCCACAGCCCAGAGCTGCTGCTTGATGCCACAGGCTTACCTCAAGTGGATGGAAGAGGGCGGCCAGGACCAGCAGCTGCCCGGCCTGGAGCTCACCTATGAGCAGCTTTTTTTCATCAACTACGCCCAGGTGGCACCACAGTCCTGGGCCCCACCCCCAGCCACCGGGTCCCCCGCTGTGGGTACCACCACGAATGGGAGGGCCCCAGAGTAGGGGTGGGCCTGGCAGCCTCGAATGGTACAGGAGGATGGAACAGAAAGGGCCGAGGGAGAGGAGGAATGGGGTGCCCCTGCAGCACCCCCAGAGTGGGTAGCCTGGGCTGAGCCACAGGGGTGGGGCCGGGGTGACGGCAGTGCACCCACAGGTGTGGTGCGGGTCCTACCGGCCCGAGTTCGCCATCCAGTCCATCAAAACAGACGTCCACAGCCCCCTGAAGTACAGGCAAGTGCCAGCCCTCGCCCGTCACCCCTGTCCCGGCCCTGCACGTGTCTCAGGCCACTCCGTCCCCCGCCCACAGGGTGCTGGGCTCGCTGCAGAACCTGGCGGCCTTCGCGGACGCGTTCCACTGCTCCCTGGGCACCCGTATGCACCCCCAGGGCCGCTGCCGTGTGTGGTAGCCACGGCCAAGCGGCTGTGCAGCCCTCGCCCACCCGCCGCCGAGCAGCTGGCGGGACCCTGCACGCACCGCGCCCCACGGCAGATGGTGCCTGCCTGGCCTGCGCCCCAGCAAGGAGTGCAGCCACCCGGGTCAGCAGCAGCGTCCAGCCGGCCCGAGGGCCGCCGAAGAGGGTCCGCGCCCCCCCGGCAGCCCCGCAGACATGACCAACCACCTCCTGCCCACTCGCCGAAGCGCCTCGTCTTCCGGGGTCCCGTGCTTCACACTCGAGCTGAGTAAATGCTTCAAAGAAGCCTCGGCCGCTTGTCTGTCCAGGAGGGCCCGGCAGGCAGAGCGCAGGTGGCCAAGGGCCAACTCCCAGGGCTGGGGAGCCACAGCCCAGGGCGGTGGGAGGCAGGCCTGAGGGCTTCTGCTCGGAACACAGCACACAGAGTGTGCAACACCCAACAGGCCAAGCCAGCACCCACACATCACTCATGAAAGGGCCTACTTCCGGGCACGCAGACCACAGCTCCTGTGCGGGGTGCCTGGCCTGGGTACCCCAAGGTCACGTGTGCTGGGTGCCTGGCCTGGGACCCTGAGGTCATGTGTGCAGGGTGCCTGGCCTGAGGACCCCAAGGTTGCGTGTTCAGGTAAATGGCCCTGGGTCCCTAGGTCATGTGGCGGGCTGCCTGGCTCAGGGAACCCCAAGTTTGTGCACAAAGGTGCCCAGCACGGCGTGAGCAAAGCAGCACTCCCAGAACGGCACTTTATTAGCTCTGGCTGCCCCGGCCCCAGGCAAGGTCTGGCATCCAGGACCCGCACACGCGGTGGCTCTTCCAGCTCCAGGCTCATCCAGGTCCCCCAAAGCCTTCATCTGCTGCACACCTCCTCGTCACACTGCACAGGCAGAGGACCCAGTCAGGGGCAGGGCAGCAGGGCCAGCCCCCAGCTAGATACCGTGCATGCCTCACTCCAGAGTGGACCTGGTCCCTGGGTACAGAGGGCAGCCCAGGGCCCCACCAAGGCCAGCCCTCCACCCCCACCCTGCTGCAGCAGCCCTGAGGCACTGAGTCAGAAGGGCAGCACCCCAGCAGGCCTGCCCCCCGACCCATGGCCACCCTGAAGTGCTGGGGTCAGGAGGGCAGTGCAGCATGCTCACCTGGGGCGGCTGGCTGCTGCTGAGCTCGGCAGAGAGGCCCAGGGCCTGCAGGACGCTCTCCCGTGGCAAGTAGTCACCCGGGGACTTCTGGACAAAGTGCAGCAGCACCTGGTCACCACCTGCACAGTGGACAGGGCGTCAGGACAGCGGACAGGGCGTCAGGACAGCCCCGTGCCCCGACCAGATCACCCCCAGGAGCTTGCCCAGGCACCACCCGCCCAGGTCAGCGGGCAGGGCGTCAGGACAGCCCCGTGCCCCGACCTGATCACCCCCAGGAGCTCACCCAGGCACCACCCGCCCAGGTCAGCGGGCAGGGCATCAGGACAGCCCCATGCCCCGACCCAATCACCCCCAGGGGCGCACCTGGGCACCACCTGCCCAGGTCAGCGGGCAGGGCGTCAGGACAGCCCCGTGCCCCGATCCAATCACCCCAGGGGCTCGCCCAGGCACCACCCGCCCAGCGCAGCGAGCCCACCCACCTTTGCTGACGATCACCAGCCCCCCACTCTGCAGCAGGTCCCCAGACAGGTTCCCCTGGATGCCCACAGCCTTGGCCTGTGAGGAGGGACGCAGGGTGGCAGTGAGCCCCGGGGCTCGCACTGTCCCCCCACCCCCTGGATGGTACAGGACACACCTTGGCCGCCAGATCTCGCACTGGCTTCCCCAGGGCAGCTGGCAGGATGCTCAGGCTGTTGTACCTGCAGGGACATGGCCCAGCCATGCAGACAGCAGCTGGCCTTACCCGGCACCTGCCACCAGCCTCCACACCCCATTCCAGGAGAGTGGGGCTGGCACAGGCAGCCAGCCCAGGGGCAGCAGCCGGGACCCCAGGGGCCAAAGAGTTCAGTTCAGCACAGCGGCCATCTGGGCCGGGAGCCTGGGACCGTGAGGCCCTCGGGAGAATCCAGGTGCTACAGGTCATTCTACTGTCAGACTCAGTGCCCAGGAGAGCCCGCAGAAGGGCTGGCCCAGTGGTGACCCCACGGGAGCCAGCACCGGTCTGGGCCCTTGGCCAGCTCCATAGGCCCCTGCCCCCAAGTCCCGCCAAGCTGAGCCTCACACACTCACCGCTTGAAGCCCAGCTCCTTGTACAACTGCTTGGTCTCATCCAAGTAGAGCTCTGGGGTGGGGGAAGGATGGGCACAGATGGGGTCCAGGCCGAGTCTCCCTCCTGCCAGTTCACCCACCCAGGGCCAGGGTCCCCACGGTTCAGAGCAGAGCTGAGGCCCAGGGGAGCCTGGGCATCCCCTGGGACTGCGGGTACAGCGCGGGCGCAGCCAGACGCACCTCCGGAGAAGTAGCCGCCGTCCAGGAACTCCTGCAGGCCCAGCGCCTCGGGCCCCACGCCCACCAGGCGCACCCCATGCTCCTTCAGGAGTCCATGCAGGCTGCTCAGGTCCTGGGCCATCCAGCGGCACAACACGCAGCCGAAGCGTCGCAGCCCAGCCACCACGCACGGCTGCTCCCGCCAGAGACTCCGCAGCTCCACGGCCTGCCGGAGGCCTGGTCACAAGGGCCAGGCGCCCTCGCCCAGCTGGGGTGGGGAGACCAGGCCCGGAGGACCCAGCGAGGGGACCAGGCCAGGAGGACCCAGCCCGGGGGGTACCAGGCCCGGGGAACCCAGCCCGGAGGACCCAGCCGGGAGGACCCAGCGAGGGGACCAGGCCCGGAGGACCCAGCCCGGAGGACCCAGCGAGGGGACCAGGCCCAGGGGACCCAGCAGGGGGACCCAGCCCGGAGGACCCAGCCTGCAGGGATCAGGCCCAGGGGACCCAGCCCGGAGGACCCAGCGAGGGGACCAGGCCGGAGGGACCCAGCCCGGAGGACCTAGCGAGGGGACCAGGCCCGGGGGACCCAGCGAGGGGACCAGGCCCGGGGGATCCAGCCCGGAGAACCAGGCCCGACCCCGCACCCCACCCGCTCCGAGGACAGGTGCCCGTCGCCCGTCCTCACCTCCCCGGTCGTCGCATGCTTCAGGACGCACGCGCCCACGCGAGCAAGGTCCACGGTGCTCATGGCGGCGACCGTCCACCTCGACTCCCCGGTCCGGTCTGCAGTCCTGCTCGCGGCCAGCGATCCGCGTCCGCCCGTGGACCTGCCAGGTCCCGCCTCCCGCCGAGGCCACGCCTCCCCGAGGCCCCGCCCCAGATGGCCGCGCAGCGACCAGGCCCCGAAGCCCCGCCTCTCTCCGAGGCCCGCCTCCCCGAGGCCCCGCCCCAGATGGCCGCGCAGCGACCAGGCCCCGAAGTCCCGCCTCTCTCCGAGGCCCCACCCCAAGATGGCCGCGCAGCGACCAAGCCCCGAAGCCCCGCCTCTCTCCGAGGCCCGTCTCCCCGAGGCCCCGCCCCAGATGGCCGCGCAGCGACCAAGCCCCGAAGCCCCGCCTCTCTCCGAGGCCCCACCCCAAGATGGCCGCGCAGCGACCAAGCCCCGAAGCCCCGCCTCTCTCCGAGGCCCGTCTCCCCGAGGCCCCGCCCCAGATGGCCGCGCAGCGACCAGGCCCCGAAGTCCCGCCTCTCTCCGAGGCCCGCCTCCCCGAGCCCCCGCCCCAAGATGGCCGCGCAGCGACCAAGCCCCGAAGCCCCGCCTCTCTCCGAGGCCCGTCTCCCCGAGGCCCCGCCCCAGATGGCCGCGCAGCGACCAGGCCCCGAAGCCCCGCCTCTCTCCGAGGCCCGCCTCCCCGAGCCCCCGCCCCAAGATGGCCGCACAGCGACCAAGCCCCGAAGCCCCGCCTCTCTCCGAGGCCCCACCCCAAGATGGCCGCACCATGTCCTTGTTCTGCCTGCGGGCCTCGCCCATCGGACCGGTCAGAACCGGCGTCTCATTTGCATATGCATGAGCCCGCACCCCGATCCTGTGTCCGACGGCAGAGCTGGTGGCTCTCGGTGTCCCGGGGACTCGACGCGAATCACGCCCTGTCCTTCCTGGACACGGCGAGTGCGGGGTGGGCCGGTGCTGTGGGGTCGCCACCGCCAGCCGTCCCTTCTCGTCCACCTGTGGGGTCGCCTCCATCAGCCGTCCCCTCTGCCCAGCTGTGGGTCACCTCCATCAGCCGTCCCCTCTGCCCACCTGTGGGTCACCTCCATCAGCTGTCCCCTCTGCCCACCTGTGGGGTCACTTCCATCAGCCGTCCCCTCTGCCCACCTGTGGGTCACCACTACCAGCCGTCCCCTCTGCCCACCTGTGGGGTCACTTCCATCAGCCGTCCCCTCTGCCCACCTGTGGGGTCACCTCCATCAGCCGTCCCCTCTGCCCACCTGTGGGTCACCTCCATCAGCTGTCCCCTCTGCCCACCTGTAGGTCACTTCCATCAGCCGTCCCCTCTGCCCACCTGTGGGGTCACTTCCATCAGCTGTCCCCTCTGCCCACCTGTGGGTCACCACTACCAGCCGTCCCCTCTGCCCACCTGTGGGGTCACCTCCATCAGCTGTCCCCCCCTGCCTACCTGTGGGTCACCACCACCCAGGTGTCCCCTCTGCCCACCTGGAGCCTCAGAGCCTTGTTGTGTAACCACTCCTTCGCAAGCCCCATAAAGGCCCGTGACAGGGAGGGCTCTCTCTCCCTCTCTCTTCCTCTCTCGCTCTCTCTGTCCTGTGCCTCCCTTGCTCTGCCACGCTCACCCTTGGCCTCCCCAGGACCTGCTTGCTCTCTGGCTTCCGGTGGACAGAGCTGAGGACAGGAGGACGGGCAGCCCTGAGCATGCCCCGTGTGTCTGTATTCCTCACCCTCTGTGCACGGCCCGGGCGGGACAGTGCAGCAGGCAATGCTAAGATGTCTGTATTTCTGATGTGTGTGCTGTCGGGAGAGGGGAGGCCTGGCAGCGAGGGAACGTGAGCAGAGAAGCCAGGGAGAGGTGAGTATGCAGCTTTCTGAGTGTGTCCAGGCTGTTTGTTAGGATGGCATTGCTGGGGAAGCTGGGCCATAGGTGTCCAGCTTAATGGGTGAACTTCAGGGTCATGACCACTTGTTCAGACTGGATTGCCATGTGTTACTGCCATTTGCTCGTTCCTAGTGGGCCTGTTATCACCAAACTTGGTTAATAAAGACTCCTCATTACACCCTAGACTTGTCTGACATGATCTCACTTGCACCCGCAACACAGGCCTGCAATCAAAGAGGATGCCTCCAGCCCAGGTCTGCTGCGGGTCAGGGTCCCTGCGTTCCGCGGGGAAGGGTGCAGCCCCCAGCCTGGGTCTCTGAGGGTCAGGGTCCCTGCATTCCGCGGGGAAGGGTGCAGCCCCCAGCCTGGGTCTCTGAGGGTCAGGGTCCCTACGTTCCGCGGGGAAGGGTGCAGCCCCCAGCCTGGGTCTCTGAGGGTCAGGGTCCCTGCGTTCCGCGGGGAAGGGTGCAGCCTCCAGCCCAGGTCTCTGCGGGTCAGGGTCCCTACGTTCCGCGGGGAAGGGTGCAGCCCCCAGCCTGGGTCTCTGAGGGTCAGGGTCCCTGCGTTCCGCGGGGAAGGGTGCAGCCTCCAGCCCAGGTCTGCTGCGGGTCAGGGTCCCTGCGTTCCGCGGGGAAGGGTGCAGCCCCCAGCCCAGGTCTCTGCGGGTCAGGGTCCCTGCGTTCCGCGGGGAAGGGGTGCAGCCTCCAGCCCAGGTCTGCTGCGGGTCAGGGTCTCTGCGTTCCTCGGGGAAGGGTGCAGCCCCCAGCCCAGGTCTCTGCGGGTCAGGGTCCCTGCGTTCCGCGGGGAAGGGGTGCAGCCTCCAGCCCAGGTCTGCTGCGGGTCAGGGTCCCTGCGTTCCGCGGGGAAGGGTGCAGCCCCCAGCCCAGGTCTCTGCGGGTCAGGGTCCCTGCGTTCCGCGGGGAAGGGTGCAGCCTCCAGCCTGGGTCTCTGAGGGTCAGGGTCCCTGCGTTCCGCGGGGAAGGGGTGCAACTCCCAGCCCAGGTCAGGAGAGGGGCAGTTCCGCCCTGCTTTGCCCTCCTGGTGGCTCCCACAGGCGGGCCTGCCCCCACAGCCGCCTCCCTGCCAGGTCTCCCAGAGCCAGACGGTATCACGGAGGCCTGTCTGGGCGAGTGGGGATTTGGCTGGCAGCTGAGCCACCTGTATCGCATCCACAGGGCCTGGCATCCAGTCCAGCTCGGGCCAGCCTCCAGCTTCCTGCCAGTGCTAGCCACAGGGGTCCCCTGGGTGCTCCCGGCTCTGGCGCCCACCTAGCCCCAGCCGTGTCGGCCACTCCAGGCATCCGTGGGCAGTGGATGCTCGCTTGCCCCCATCCTTTTCTGCCTTCTGAGCAATGTCTGCTTGCCCCAGGGTGGCCTTGCACCCGCCCTTGGAGGGCACCCCTCACAGGAGTGGGGTCACCCCCGGCTGCTTCTCCCTGCCAGGCCTGAGCCGAGGGCACCCAGGTTCCTGTTCTTACTTCAGCTAGAGCTGTTTCATTTAAGAGACATGGAGCCTGTGCTGCGGACCCACTGCCCAGATGCCTCAGTGGCCAAGCCTGCTGTTCCATCCAGGTCTCTCAACTGTGAGCTGCCTCCCTAGAAAAGCGGGGGCACGGGGAGAAGCCACACCCCACTGAGGGAGGAGGCTGGCTGCCCTGGCACCGCCACTCGGCTGTGCCCACCCTCAGCTCAGTGTGGGAGCCACTGCACACCCTGGCTGCTGTCACCAGCTGATGCTGGGTCCCTGCTGAGCACAGTGGACACGTTTTATTTCAGTGCATTTGGAAGGCCGCGGGGCAGGTGACAGACCTCCCAGGCTCACCTCCCTGCCCACGAGCCCGGGCAGCAGGGGTTGCACGGCAGCCGGCCCCTCTGCTGCCCTCCAGGAGTGCTTAGCGGAAAGCAGGCTGAACGCGGAACGCAGCCTCGGCGTCCCCCATTGCTGGCCAGGCGTGGGACAGCCCAGGGCCCGCGGCTTTGCTGCTGCTGAGCCCGGTGCCTCCCGCCCCCAAGCCCGGTTGTGTTCCCCTGCGCCCTGGGCGCGAAGTCGCAGCCAACACCCCCGGGGTGCTCTGGTTTGCCGCGCACCGCAGCCGCCGGCGGCAGGGGCGCGCACGGGGCAGACCCGGGAGGGCCCGGCTGGGCAGGTCGTCCGCGGGTTCCGGGAAAGCTGCGCAGGACGGCCGGCCGCGACGGGAAGTCCCTGGCCTCGGGCTCTTCACCAGGCTGGTCACGAGAGGTGCCCGCGGGGCCGCGTCCACGCAGCTGGGTGTCCCGCCTGGCGAATGCAGAGACGCGAGGCCCCTTCTCCCGCGGAGGAAGTGGTGGTCGGGGAGGTGACCCCAAACGGGAGCGCCTAGGCAAGGAGGGGCGCTGGGGGCCAAGGAGATGGCAGGGTGCACGCTGGCAGGGGCGCTGAGGAGGGAGCCACGACCACCAGGGAAGACACAGCCCCAATCACCTCTCCGAAACACACTGTGGTCAGCGGGGAGGCACTTCCTTCGGAACATGGCTGGTGGCCAAGCCGGCTTTGTGCCGCAACCTGGGCTAGCCGGGCGCTCTGGAGGCCTCCCGGGTCCTGCTGGGCCTGCTGTGAGCCAGGAGCAGCTTCCTCCAACAGCTGGTCCCACACGTGGCAGCCGTCGATCCCGCTGGCTAGCGATGGCCCCCTAGATCAGCACAGGGGCCGTCTCCTCCTCCGCCACCGTGGTGACGCTGGGCAGCACCTGTAGCACCATGGGCTTGCTGTCTTCACTCCTTTTGCCCTGCAGGACAAGTGCCCCGTGAGGACCCTGAATCCTCTGGTCTTCCCTGCCTCCCCCGCAGCCCTGGTGGCTGTGCAGGGCCCCGGCTTCCATCCACACTCAGCAGAGGGCCCAGGGGCAGATGGGAAAACAGGCGTCCCAAGGCTTGGAGTGCAACTACCCAGCTCATGCTGTGCCCCGGGCTGCCCTCCTACCCCCAGGAAGTTCACTGGCAGCTGGCCCCACCCAACAGAGCAGGCAGGGGCCCCAGGAAGTGCTGCCCCACCCCCATTCTCCCACCTGGGCCCCCAGCAGCAGCCAGGCAGCAGCATCCACCCACCCACCTTCATGCTGGGAGCAGCGCCCTGCTCTGAACTGCTCAGCCCTCAGCCATCCCGGAGGGCAGCCACCAAGCACTCGTGGGTATCCTGGCTGGGCCCACTGTACAGCCCAGCTCAGGCAGGCCCAACAGGATGCCCCGCCCACAGGCAGCCCACGACAGCGAGGGACACGCCACAGCTGCTGCCCCCCACGCACACGTCTGGCTGGTGTGGCCCAGCTCCTGTGGCAGCCCCGAGGAACAGGCTCACTCTAGCTCAGACCCTGAGCCAAAGCGGAGATGGTCAGCAGAGAACAGACAAGGCCGAGGGTCAGACGGACGGACGACTGGTGGGTCAGGAGTCAGGCATGGGGGCGGGTCAGAAAGAACGGCAGAGGAAGCTTGAGCTGACGGACGGACAGACAGCTCCGAGGGCATGTAAGAGTTTAGAATAACCGCTTGATTCTGCCTCTGTATATTGCTTTCTGCTGAGCAAGAGTAGAGCCATGTTAGACTAAGTATAGAAAAGTCATTTCATGAAACAAGTAAAGTTTCAGTTTCCCAGACATGAACAAGGCAGCTGCAAGAATGGAGAAGATAAGGAAGCAAGGCCAATGCAACAAGGCCGATGCAAGAATATAAAAAATAAGAAAGTGAGACAGTTACAGAGAGATAAGAAGTTTGAGAAAGTACCGGGTCATCTAGTCCTAAGACGAGGAATGCAGACCGTCAACAATTAAAAAATTCCAGTTGTTATGCAAAGTTTGTGGTTTTGTCCTTTAAAAAGGTGCTTTAACCTGCTTGGGGCGCGCAGAGTCCTGGGTGCCTCCAGAGACTCTGTTGCCCATTCGCGAATGATCAATAAAACCCTCAGGCTTATTGCAGCCTCTGCGTTTGACTTGCTTTGCCAATGACGGTGCGGCTCCCCTCCACGGGGCTGGACTCTCCCCGAGTCTGACAAGCTGAGGGCTAGCGAGGCTTCCCCAGCCTGCAGCAGGCACTCTGTCAGTGGCCCGCTCACACGGCTGCTGCTGGGAAAGCCATGGGCAAGGGCCACCTGCGAGGGCCCCTGCACGGACCAGGGAGACCAGGACGGCCCAGCTGCCTCCCCGCCCCAGCCTGGGCAACAGCCACCTGCTTGAGCCCCTGCACGGACCAGGGAGACCAGGACGGCCCAGCTGCCTCCCCGCTCCAGCCTGGCCCAGCTCCACTGGTGCAGCTGCAGCCTGGTACTGAAGCCATTTGGAGAGTGAGCCAGCAAATGGAAGAACTTTCTCTCCATTTTCTCTCTCTCTCTCTCTCTTTCTCTCTCTCCCTCTTTCTGCGCCAGGATCCCATAAGATTCTAATTCCGGCAGCTGCACTTCCCATCCAGCTCCCTGCCTGTGGCCTGGGAAAGCAGTCAAGGACGCCCAAGACCTTGGGACCCTGCACCTGTGTGGGAAACCTAGAAGTTCCTGGCGCCTGGCTTCTGATCGGCTCAGCTCCAGCCATTGCAGTCACTTGGGGAGTCAATCAAGACACGGAAGATCTTCCTCTCTGTATATCTGACTTTCCAATAAAAATAAATTTTTTATAATAATAATTCCCATCTCCTTCAAGATAACTTATTTTTTTTTATGAAGAAGAAAAGAGGAAAATTGAATAAATGGGGACCAGTGTGGTGGCACCACAGGCTAACCCTCCAGCTGTGGCACTGGCATCCTGTGTGGGCCCCGGTGCGAGTCCCAGCTGCTCCACTTTCAATTCAGCTCCCTGACAACACACCTGGGGAAGCAGCAGAGCATGGACCAAAGGCCCTGGGCCCCTGCACCCATGTAGGAGACCCAGAAGCAACTCCTGGCTTTGGACCAGTCCAGCTGTGGCCGTTTGGGGAGGGAACAGCAGACAGAACGTCTCTGTCTCTCTTCTTTGTGACTCTGACTTTCAAGTAAAATAAACAAACAAACAAAAAAGACACATGGGACACGATTTGCCTGTAGCAGAAAGGGGAGGGGAGGAGGAACATTCCAGAAGAGGGAAGAGAGGAGAAAGCTTTCCACATCGGGGAAGATACAGACCAGCCAGGCACCCCAGACTGGGGCTGAGGGTCTCGCGGCAGGACGGCCCACCGCAGCTGGCCAGGCACGTGGCAGGGAGCAAGTCCACGCCAGCAGGGGCCGAGTGGCTGGCCAGCAGCAACTTCCCAGCAAAAGCCTGGCCGGCCACAAGAAAGGAACATGAGGTGCTCGGGACCCGGAAGGCCTGCCCACTGTGAGCCCAGCACCCCGAGGGAAAGTGATGAACTGCCTCGCGCCGTCGTGGTCCTGCTTGGACCACCGGGACAGCCTTCGGCGGGAAGATGGTGGCCACCAGCCCCAATCACCATGGAGCAAATATGCCAGGGAAGGGAGGCCCGCATGGTCCCCACACCCAGCCCCAGTGTCCAACGACCAGCAAGTGCAGGGAGGGCACGAGGACACACCGCCCACCGGGCGGCAGCATCGTGAGGGGCTGGCGGCGTCCACTGGGGTAAGCCGCCCTTTCCAATGGCTGACGCGCGGCAAGGTCCGTGATAGCCCAAGGGCTACAGCTCTTGCTGCCCAGCAGGCCAGGGCTTCCAGCACCTGGGCTGGCTCAGCCTTGCATTTGGGCAGCAAATCAGCAGATGCAAGATCTCTCTCTGTCTCTCTGTCACTCTGCCTTTCAAATAAATCAATCTTTAAAGGTAGTAATAACAGGGGCTGGTGTGGCACAGTGCGTTAAGCCTGTAACAGCAGCAGCCCGTGTGGGCACTGATTCATGTCCCAGACGCTCCAGTCCAGGCAGCTGGCTGCTAACGCCTGGGAACACCGCAGAGAATGGCCAGCATTGGACGCCTGCTTCCAGGCAGGCGCTCCGGCTGTCCAAGCGGGGGGAAGCAAAGCAGCAGACACCTGTCTGTAACTCTGACCTTCACATAAAAATGAAGTGAACTACTTAAAATAAAAAGTATATATGGACTAATGGTTTAAAAAGGTGAAATCCTTTTGTTGGGGCCAGTACAGTGGTTTAACTGGCTAATCCTCCGCCTGCATCCTACTGGGCACTGGTTTGTGTCCCGGCTGCTCCACGTCCCACCCAGCTCCCTGCCAGTAGCCTGGGAAAGCAGTCGAGCACCGCCCAAAGCCTTGGGACCCTGCACTCCCATGGGAGACCTGGAGGAAGCTCCTGGCTCCTGGCTTCGGATCGGCTCAGCTCTGGCCACTGTGGCCAGCTGAGAAGTGTATATGAATGGACAGAAAATCCTTCTCTCCGTCTCTCTTCCTCTCTGTAAATCTGACTTAAACCTTCCAATAAATAAATAATTTTTAAAATACAAGAACTCACTTTGTCAGTAAGGACACACACACTGAAAGCAAAGGCGTGAGGAAGGATGTTTCAGGAAATGGAAAGCAGAAGGCAGAGGTGTGATCCCCGCGCAGCACACACGTTGAGTGTGAAGATGCAAGAGTGACGGGGGTCTTTCAGGACCGTGAGCCGCTGGGGGCAGCAGCTGCCCACCCCACGACACAGGGCCGGCGTCTGCACCCACCTTCCTCTGCGGGCCGGGCCCCCGCAAGCCTGCGCCCCTCCCCACCTCCGCAGGCCCCACGCAAGTCTCCACAGCAACGCTGACCTCAGAACCGCTGGCCGTGTCCTCTGTGACCACAGCAGGGCAACACATCAGAGCCAAGCGGGGCCGGGCGGGCTGTGCTAACCGGCGGAAATTAGGCAACATTCTCTTAAAAAACCGATGATTCAAACAAGAAATCAACAGGGAAATTTTTAGGTTTCCTCAAATAAATGAAAATGAAAACACAGTGTATACCAAGGCCGTGAGACACGGCGAAGACAGAGTTGAGAGCAGAGAGGCGGCGAGCGCTGCGTAAACAGCCCAGGGCGCCAGGAGCCCCGTGAGCAGCACGCCGCACGAAGGGGTGGGACGGACACAAAAAAGGAGACACTCCAACAGTCCAAATGAGAGCCAGACATTGGAACAGACACCCCAGTCTCACAAAGCATCAGTGGGAACTATGATGGGCACACGCGCCAGAGACCGGCGCCAGGTGGGCGAGTTTTTCAACTCAGAGCGGCCCAGACTGAACCAGGAAGCCACAGGAAGCCCAAGCAGCTGAGAGCAGCGGAAACAGACTCACCGAACAAACCCGGCACCCAAGCTGCACTCAGCTTTACCAAGTTTCTTAAGAACTAAAGCCAATTATTTTCAAGCTGTTTCAAACAAGTCAAGTTTGCTCTTCCACACTGCATCTATAAATCCAGTATCGCACTGGTGCCAAACCAGTAAACCACACACTCATTCTTGACCAATGTTGGAACAAAAACCCTCAACAGGAGATTGATGCTGTGGCATGGCGGGCTAAGCCCCAGCCTGTGCCCCCGACCCAGCCACTGGCCCAGTGTCCTGCTGGGTACTGTGGCATGGCGGGCTAAGCCCCAGCCTGCGCCCCCGACCCAGCCACTGGCCCAGTGTCCTGCTGGGTGCTGTGGCATGGCGGGCTAAGCCCCAGCCTGCAGCTCCAGCCCAACCGCTGGCCCAGCGTCCTGCTGGGTGCTGTAGCATGGCGGGCTAAGCCCCAGCTTGCGTCCCAGCCCAGCCGCTGGCCCAGCGTCCTGCTGGGTGCTGTGGCATGGCGGGCTAAGCCCCAGCTTGCGTCCCTGACCCAGCCGCTGGCCCAGCGTCCTGCTGGGTGCTGGGAGTCAGCAAAGGGAGCCCCAGCCCCCCACATCACCCGTGTCAGAGACTCACAGCTGCTCTGGGACAGTGGGCAGAAGATGCCTTTCTGGGCCCAGTAGGATGGCCCAATGGTAAATCCTCGCCTTCCACACATCAGGATCCCACGTGGGCACCAGCTTGTGACCCAGCTGCTCCACTTCCCATCCAGCTCCGTGCTTGTGGCCTGGGAAAGCAGTCGAGGACGGCCCAAAGCCTTGGGACCCTGCACCCACATGGGAGACCCGGAAGAAGTTCCTGGCTCCTGGCTTCGGATCAGCTCAGCTCTGGCTGTTGTGACCACTTGGGGAGTGAACCAGCAGACAGAAGATCTTGCTCTCTAAGTCCCTCTCTCTCTAAATTCTTTTCCGACAAAAATAACTAAATCATTTTTTAAAAAAGAAGATATCTTTCATTGGTTTGTCCATGTGTCTCAATGTTGTTCTTTCAAATACAAACGGGTAAACATTTTTAAAATTCTCATCAGAATCCAACATAATCTAGCTCAGGCCCAGGACGGCTGGGATCAGCTGGGACTTAATCTGAGGAAACTGACAATGGTCACCTCAGCCACGTGGGCAGCAACGGCCACGGTCAGCTCAGCATATAAGAAGCATCTGATAAAATTCAAGAGTGTTTCGTGCAAACGCTGGGGTGCTGAAGCCTCCTCAGCATACTGGGGCTACCCACGCCGATCCCGTCACCACAGCCGTGTTGCCTAGAAAAGCTGAAAGCAGCCCGGGGTCAGGAGCAAGGGTACTCACTTCCTCCATGTGTTGCTGGAAGTCAGCCACTGCAACAGGGTGCGGGAAGGAAGGGAAGGGCCCACACTTCCCTATTTGCACAGTCTGATTTCACAGGAAAAAACAATAATAATAAAGAAAACACCCCAAGAAAACCATCATAACTCATCAACAAATGTGGTAAGGATTAGCATAGAGGATTAGCATAGGAAAATAAGTAGCTTTATATATGTAATTTATATACAATGATGATGATGTTGAGAACAAAATGGAGAAAAGCCTGGTTTGCACAGCCACACACAGTATACCCAGGGATAAGTTTAACCGAAGAAGTGGAAAAACTTCCTTAAGGAAAATTATAAGATGGGAAGATGTCCCATGTTCATGGATAGGAAGATGTTGGCAAAATGTTTGATCTGTGGATAGAGTACAATTTTTATCTAAATATCGCACTGTTCTTCATAGAACTAGGAACAACAAATCCAAAATTCACACGAAACCACCAAAGACCCAGATTACCCAAAGCACTCCCACAGCAGGGAGCAGGGAAAAAAATCTAGGGAACTTGTTCTATTTGAGTCCAAAACCCACTACAGAGCCTCGCCACCGAACGGGGTGGACCAGCGGACGCAGCAGACTCCCCAAGGAGGCCCCGGGGCCAAAGGCAGCACACAGCCGCAGGCGCAGAAGGGGAACCTGCTTGCTAAACCGTGCCGGGAAACCAACTCCCGCAGGCAGAGGACAAAGACGCAGTGCCCCCGGAAAGGGCTCCTGGCAAAGTTGCCTGTACTCCTGAAGTCTGGAATCTTGGAGATTCCAGGAGGTAGGAAGGACCTCGGAGTTTTGAGATGTATGGGAAAGACCTTTGAGGAAGCTGTCTTACTTGCTGTCTGCGTTGCAGCGGCAGGATCAGACCCCAAGCCCTGCATTGTACGTGTCTGTTTCTGCTTTGTGTCACAGGAAGCCCCGATCACGTATTTGCTCACCGTTACACCGTTACGTAGCTTTTGATTTTCCCGCAGATACTTGCTAAAAACCCCACACTTCTAGCTCATGGCAAGAGGCTGCCCCTGGACTGGACGTTAATCTCATTTCACTCATCTTGGAGTCTCACTCGATTTCACTGAACCCCAACACCCGCACCTTACACAGACACTAGCTCAGAGCCGACCAAGGCCTTGGCTCCAGGACACTGGGCTGGATGGAGGTGGACTCCACTGCACTAACAGCAGGGCCGACAGCGGCAGCGACCTACACCAATGGCCACCCCACAGATGCCAGGAGCCCTGACACTCAGCTGCAGATGCACCGAGTGACCTGTGGAAACCTGGTGGGAAAAGGCAGGATGGGCCTGCCCTCCAGTGCCAGCTCCACTTCTGACCCCAGGAGGCAGGGACCACAGATCAACACTCAGAAGAAAGCCAGGTACCCCCTCCCCGACCCAGCTCTCCCCCTCCCTCCCCTGACGGCAGCCCCCTCCCCGACCCAGCTTTCTCCCCCTCTTCTGGACATGCAGCCCCCTCCCCGATCCAGCTCCCCAACTCCCCTGGACAGCTGCCCTCCCCACACCGCCCCCCGCCCCGCAGTTCCTCTGCCCTGGTGCACAGGACCAAAGGCAGAGCAGGGCCACTGCCCTCCCATGGGGAAGTTACTGTGGATCCAGAACCCACGAGGTCCTGGGAGGGCAGGAAGACAGGATGGTTAAGGGCAGGGAGGAGCCGCGGGAGGGCGGCTGCACTGACAGCAGTAACCCAGCACGGTGACAAGTGGGAGGAAGTCGCAGCTGACACTCCAACATCCACTGAGATCGTCTCCCACACGTGTTGGAACTTTACCCACACTCACTGGGTGTCAACAGGAAGTGAGTGTGTCTTCCAGGGTCATGGGGGTCATGGGGGTCAGTGCCCTCCCACCTGACTCAAAGAACGGGGAGCCCGCCCATGCACCCCACCAGCACCACCCAGCTGGGCAGAAGGAAAGGTCAGGGGACACAGTACCTGGATTGAGTCGGTCGCCTGGTCACCTGCAAGACAAGACACACAGCTGGGGCGGGGCCAAGGAGACAGTGGTATCCTGTGGGGTCTTCACCCAGCTGGCCTGCGTGGGAGCCTGGCCTCTTTGGACACAAGGCGACATAACCTGAGGCTGTTCCCAGGGCCAGGCCATGTCACACCCCCAGCCCATGGGGCTATCTCCCGGAAAATGGGGGGCACCTAGCAAAGGGCACCGTTTCAGCCCAGCTGCCTGAGCTCTAGCCTGGATCCTCAGACCCCGGGAGCCCTGCCGACACCGAGCTGGGAACAGAGCCGGCCCGCCCCTCTAGGCTGTACTTAGAGCTAGAACCCCGGGTTCCGTCACGGGGTCCCCAAAGCTAAGATTCTTGTGCCTGGCACACATACCACAAGAGGGCTGCTAAGTGGACAATGGAAGGATTGGCATTTGGTGTTCCCCATGGGGACACAGCCTCGCCCAGGGCCAAACAGGGCAGCTATCGGCACCTCCTACAGCTTCTCCCAGCTAGGGCCAGTGTGCCTGGGCACCTCCCCAACCCCGCGCAGCCAGGACCCCACAGCCTAGAGCACAGTAGGCGCAGGGGCTCCAGGCGCAGCCCCAGGGCCCTGCACACAGAGACCTACCTCACCTGGCCAGCAGCTGTCTCCCAGACACTGCAGGGGACGGGGCCTGGCACTCACCTGGTGGCCTTTTCCGTCTCCTCCATTTCCAGATGAATACACCAACAAGGATCAACAGGATGATGGTGGTGGCAAAGCCCCAAACAAGATGCTGCATCCAGGGGGAGCAGGTGGCATCTGTGCGGTTGGTCCCAGGCACTGCTTCGGCCAGGAGCCAGTGGCTGCAGCTGGGACAGAGGTGCCGCAGGAGGCCAGAGCTGCGTGAGGCCCCGCTGACGGCCTTAGGCCTGCCTCCCCAGGAGTGGAGAGGGGAAAGGGGGAGGGCAGGGGAGAAGCCAGGAGAGGAGGGACACGAGGATAGCCCAGAGACTAGGGGCCCCCAGGCCCGAGTCACACAGGAACCACAAGCCCAGCTCAGCCAGGGACCCCGATCCCAGGTCAGCCAGGACAAGACCAAGGAGAGAGGGTGGGAGGATGAAGCGTTGCCCACCCCCGCAGTAGCCATGCCTCACCCACACAGGATCCCCGTCCCCTGGAACCCAGGTCAGTTCTGGGGTCTGGGACTGACGTAAGGAGGGGCCACATTGGGGAGGGGTGGGCTATCTCCATCTCGTAGTCCCCTAGACCCCGTGGCCCTGACACACAGGGGTCAGGAACCTGGCAGCAGTGTCCCTCGGGTGGGGGGCCCGGGGTGGGGACCCCCTACCGCCACACCCTGGAGGAGCCACCTACCTGGTCCAGGGCTGACACTGTTCCAAGCTCCCGTTGGGCGAGAACGTGCCCGGCGGGCAGTCGCCACACACAGTGTCCCGACTCTCGGTGCCTGGGAGGGGGACAGGGCCGGGCAGCATGGGGTCCCTGCCAGGGGCGTGGGCTCGTGTGCCTCCCTGCAGCTGGCCCAGGTCCCGTACCACCAAGGAGGCCTGAAGTGGCCATGGCAAGGTAGAGCCTGCAGCTCTAGGCAGACAGTGGGCTCCTGGAGACGAGGGGTAAGGGTCTGCTGGCGGGGCCTCACCTGTCTCCTGTACCCTCTGGCCTGGGCGGCAGGTGGAGTGGGGCCGGCAGGCGTCACAGTGGTCACCGTCCTTGCTGACGCAGAAGCGCCCATGGTCACAGCCGCACACAGTGTTGGCTATGCGGGAGCACACGCGCCTGGTGACCAGGCCCAGGGCTGGGGGCCAAGAGAGCACGTGAGAGTGCTGGACCCCTGAGCCGGAAATGCCTCCTGCCCCTCTAGCAGGCGGGCCATCCACTCTGCCCCCAGCTCTGCCTGAGTCCCAGAGGTGCCCGACTGCTGGGAGGAACCCAGAAGCATGAGCTGGGCAGGGAGCAAGCCCTGTGCCCATAGTGGCCCAGCTGGTGACCAGCCACAGGAGCCTGGCCCTGGCAGTGTCGCCACACAGGTCCCTGCTGTGAGGACAGACAGGGAGCCGCTGGCCTGATCCCGCCCAGGCTCCCTCCTGAAGGACAGGGTCCCGGCACCTGTGCCCTCCACAGCCCATCACACAGGGGTGTCTGCTGCCCTCCTCCGGCCCTGCCCTTGAGACCAGAGCCTCAGCCAGCTGGTCACAGGGGCACCATCAGCCCTTCAGGGAGTGCCTGTGGCCCTATCCCTGCTGGGCTTGGGGGTCCAACTGCGGGGAGACTGTGGGGCTCCCCTCCCTGCTGGCTCCTTTCCCGCAGTGTGAGGCCAGCCTCACCGGGCCCCCTGACACCTGTGGCTCAGGCCCTGGCCTGGCCTGCCGTCCCTCAGGCTGGCACGCACTAGGCTCCGTGTGGCTGCAAGCCTAGGACTGCACTGATCTGGGCAGTGCCAGTCAGTAGAGGCTGCCGGGTATGTGGAGGGCACAGTGCCCACTGCCCTGAGTCCCCTCCAGACACCTGCCTTGCCCTCCCCGTCCAGCCCAGGGTGCTTTCCTGGATGAAGAGGACACAGTGGGGCCGCAGCGGGGCCCAGGGGAGCGACTGAGACACAACAGGGTCCAGGTCCCTTGGCTGCTGGCACCAAGACGAGCAGCTGTTCTGGGCTCAGTCCCAAAGCTGTGGTTCCCCAAGGACAGCTCAGGAGGGTCCAGGTGTGGCACTCACCCACCCTGGGGTGACACAGTGGCTGGGAGCTCCCTCCCAGGGAGGCGGTGCCAGCCAGATGTGCCCCTACCTGCATGACACTCGCGGCACGGCAGACACTTGCTCAGGCCGTTGTAGTGGGCAGTGTAGGTCTCGCCAGGGCAGGGTGCACACACGGTGCCACTCTCGTTTCCGCAGGCCCGTACCACGTGGTACCCTGCCAGGCACGGCAGCCCCACCCCCCGCAGGTGTGACGATGCCACCAGGTCCCCTGGGCTCCTGGGCAGCTCCCACAGGGGGACCTTGGGAAGGGGAACTCCCAGTCCTCCTCCTAGTGGAGCCCCCGCTCCTCCCCCCCGCCCAGCTCTGACCCCTGGTTCCAGGGAGGCCCCTCCCTACCTGGGCTGCACTTGGGACAGCATTCGTTGCCCACAGGGTACTCCTCTTCCTTGCACAGGGGCTGGGCCAGGGCACAGCCAGGGACTCCCAGGAGGAGCAAGAGATACAGGGCCTGTGGGGACAGAAGGGACAGCGGAGTGGGGCTCCAGCAGGCCCTCCTTCCTCCCTGTGTGAAGGGGCAGCCACACCTGAGCCAGGGTGGCACAGCGGAGGGACCAGGCCAGGCTCCAGGGAGGACCGAGGATGCCAGCCTGGCATTGGACCCCACCCGCCCCAAAGAGCCCTGAGCCTGACGGCTGGGCCCACCGGCTGGGGCAGTGGAGAGGCTGGGGAGGGGAAGGGCTGGGGTCCCTCCCTGCACCCCAGACTGCTTATCTGCACCTGCAGAACAGGCCAGCTGGACACCTGCCAGGGCCCAGCCCAGAGCAAAGTCCCTCCCACAACTGCCCACTAATCCCACGGGGCCAGCTAGTGGGCGTGGACTCAGGAGTGCCAGATCGGGCTTCTCCTGGCTGGGCACCCTTTCCATTGCCCTTGTCCCCTCCCCCCTGCCACCTGCCCTTGTCCCCTCCTCCCCACCCCCCGCCACGGGAGGCCTGCAGAGTCCAGCAGAAAGCTAAGGCTTGCGTCCACAACTCCTGCCCGGACAGGGTCAAGGTTGGTGCTGAGGGGAGGGGGCTCGCTGGGGGCAGTGCTGACAGGGAAGGCAGAGTGACTCACCAGGCCCAGGGCGTCTGCAGGGGGTGCTGGGCCGCAGCCGGGAGGCCCCCCGCCCCGCCGGGGCTCCATGTCCACCTGAGCACAAGGCTGCCTCAGGTCGTGGCGGACCCACCCAGACCCCAGGCAGGAGGACGTCCCTCAGCCCCTCGCAACCCGCCAGACATCGCTGCCACCTGGGGACAAAAACAGAAAGCGAAAATTCTCAGCCTCAAAGATAGGAAGGGGGCGTGGCTATAAGCCTGCCCCTCCTCCACTGCACCGTGCCCTCAGCACCCATCAGCACTCAGCACCCAGACACAGCACCGAGGGGTGTGTGGGCTTCCTGGTCGAGTGGCTCTGGCTGGGCATTCAGGAGGCTGCGGCTGGCAGAAGCCGGAGGACAGGCTGGGGCGCCAACCCTGGAGTCCGCCCACCACTGATAAGCACTCCTTGGACAGGCCCTGCGGCGAGGGCAGGCAGCTGGGCGGGGAGTGGCAGCCACTTGCGGGGTGCAGGAAGGATCGGGGTGCTCTGAGTCCTGGGTGGGGAAGCTATGACTGCACCCCGTTGCCCCCCTGCCCCCACCTCCACAGGAACCTGGGTTTCCTGTGTGAACTGAGGTAACTTCCCTGCCCTGTTGCTGGTGGAAGGAGGAGTCGGGGGCCCTACCCGCCTGCCCTTCCCCCAGATCTGGGAGCTGGAAGTCGGAGAGGGGGGCACATGGTCCCTCGCACGCCGTGGACATCAGTGGGACCGCTAAAGTCCTGTGGATCGAGTGAGGCACTTGAGGAGTCCGCCCCTGCCTCCAGTCCAACCTGCCATCAGCCCCAGGAGCAGGTGTGACTCTGTGCTTGTCCTGCCTGGTCCCCATCAGCCCCAGGAGCAGGTGTGACTGTGCTTGTCCTGCCGGGTCCCCATCAGCCCCAGGAGCAGGTGTGACTGTGCTTGTCCTGCTGGGTCCCCATCAGCCCCAGGAGCAGGTGTGACTCTGTGCTTGTCCTGCTGGGTCCCCATCAGCCCCAGGAGCAGGTGTGACTCTGTGCTTGTCCTGCCGGGTCCCCATCAGCCCCAGGAGCAGGTGTGACTGTGCTTGTCCTGCTGGGTCCCCATCAGCCCCAGGAGCAGGTGTGACTCTGTGCTTGTCCTGCCGGGTCCCCATCAGCCCCAGGAGCAGGTGTGACTGTGCTTGTCCTGCCAGGTCCCCATCAGCCCCAGGAGCAGGTGTGACTCTGTGCTTGTCCTGCTGGGTCCCCATCAGCCCCAGGAGCAGGTGTGACTGCTTGTCCTGCCAGGTCCCCATCAGCCCCAGGAGCAGGTGTGACTGTGCTTGTCCTGCTGGGTCCCCATCAGCCCCAGGGCCATAGCCTCACCTCACACAGCTGCCGTCCCTTCTAGACGTCCACCCTACCGACTCCGGAGCCCCTTCTGGCCCAGGAGCCTGCTGTGCCTGCTGCGGGGCCCTGCCCAGGACATCCAGGGGAGAGCCAGGCAGGCGGAACCCCCACACGGAGCTGGGGGACCGAGGCAGAGGCCCTTGCCGGCCACATGGGCCAGACTGCAGGGAGGCAGCAGGACTGCTGGGAGTCCCCGCAAGACCCCCAGCCCCACAGCAGAGAAGGGCAGCGGACACCACCCCCTATGCCCCGTGTGTCATCTGGGGGTCCCTGGGGAGCCAGCTGGAAGCACAACACAGACCCTGCCCCCAGGCACACACACCCCAACTCTGGGACCATGCACCCTTTCCAGTAAGTAGGGCCCCCACGGCTGCCTCAACCCCGCCCCCACTGGACCCCGCCATGCTGGCCATGAGGGGCTCGCTGACCCTCTCTGTGCTCTGGGCTGTGCTGGAATGCCACGTCCTCCATGAGGCCTTCCTTGATTGCTACCCACGGGCCAGGCCAGGGTCCCCCACGCCTTCCAGCCCCTCCCTGGGGCGCCCTGTGGAGACTCCTGGGCTGGACCTGGTGTCCACCACAGCCCACCTGGAGGGCTTTGCCCGCCAAGCGTCCACTCACTCACTCACTCATTCATTCACTGATTCATTCATTCATTCACTCATTCACTCATTCATTCATTCACTCACTCAGACATTCATTCACTCACTCATTCACTCATTCACTCACTCACTCACTCACTCACTCATTCATTCACTGATTCATTCATTCATTCACTCACTCAGTCATTCATTCACTCACTCAGTCATTCATTCACTCACTCATTCACTCACTCATTCACTCACTCACTCACTCATTCACTCATTCACTCACTCATTCACTCACTCATTCACTCACTCATTCATTCATTCACTCAGTCATTCATTCACTCATTCATTCATTCACTCACTCATTCATTCACTCACTCATTCATTCATTCACTCACTCATTCATTCATTCACTCACTCATTCACTCACTCATTCACTCATTCACTCACTCATTCACTCACTCACTCACTCACTCATTCACTCACTCACTCATTCACTCACTCACTCACTCATTCACTCACTCATTCATTCATTCACTCACTCACTCATTCATTCACTCACTCATTCACTCACTCATTCACTCACTCACTCACTCATTCACTCATTCACTCACTCATTCACTCACTCATTCACTCACTCATTCATTCATTCACTCAGTCATTCATTCACTCATTCATTCATTCACTCACTCATTCATTCACTCACTCATTCACTCACTCATTCATTCACTCATTCATTCATTCACTCACTCATTCATTCACTCACTCACTCATTCACTCACTCATTCACTCATTCACTCACTCACTCACTCATTCATTCACTCACTCACTCATTCACTCACTCATTCATTCATTCACTCACTCATTCACTCACTCACTCACTCATTCACTCACTCATTCACTCACTCACTCATTCACTCACTCACTCATTCACTCACTCAGTCACTCATTCACTCACTCACTCATTCACTCACTCACTCATTCACTCACTCACTCATTCACTCATTCACTCACTCACTCACTCATTCACTCACTCACTCATTCACTCACTCATTCACTCATTCACTCACTCACTCATTCACTCACTCACTCACTCATTCACTCACTCACTCACTCATTCACTCACTCATTCACTCACTCACTCATTCACTCACTCATTCATTCACTCACTCATTCACTCGCTCACTCAGTCATTCATTCACTCACTGACTCATTCAATCACTCATTCGCTCACTCATTCTCTCAACCATTCATTCACTCACTCAATCACTCATTTATTCACTGACTCAGTCATTCATTCACTCATTCATTCATTCACTCCCTCACCCATTTAGTCCCTCCTGCCTTCAGCACAGACCACCCCCACACAGGCTGAGAACTCAGGATGAAATGACCCAAACATGAAGGCTAGAGCCAGGGCCTCACTCCTGACAGGGACCCCATCACCCACTGTCACCTGCAAGGCCCCAGAACCCCGAGAACCAACAAGGAGAAGGCTGCCATCGGAGGCCCCCTGAATAAGCCCAGTGTCTCCCTAGGCCTCCCCCTCCCCATGTGGCCCCTCCAGGGATCATGCTGGGCCCCCCCCCACAGGGATGCTGAGTCTGGGAAGCAGATAGCCCAGGTCTGGCCCTTGCCCCCCACCCAGTCCCACCCAGTCCCAGCTGCCCCCTGCGGGCCCCATGTCCAGCACCTGACCTCCGGCAGGTCCCTCTCTGGAAATTCCCTGGGTACATTTCTGCTTTCTGTGGGAGAAGCATCTCCAGCACCATGTCCAGGGGGCGGGGACATCAGAGTAGCACAGCCTGAGAGAAGGGCAGAGAGCGTCCCTCCACCTGCTGCCTGCCCCCTGCTCAGTGCCAGCCTGGCGGGGCAGGGGCTCCCAGGCCAGGACTGGTCTGTGGGCAGAGGGGCAGCACAGGGTACTCTGAGGAGGGGCAGTCATGGCATGGATGGGACATGGCCACTGGCGGGGGCAGCAGGGAGGACTCTGGGGCTGCAGGGCTTCAGGCCCGGGGACTTGGGGCGAGGGGCGGGGCAGACACCTAGGCTGCGGGCCTCTGGCTGCGGTCCAAGGCTTCTCGGAACCCTGTGCCTGTGGCCTTCCCTCCTGGAACCCTGACAACTTCTCCTGAAACAGCCCAAGCCCCTCTCCTCCTGCCTCCTGTGCTTCCAGGCAGCACTGTGGTTCTCCTGGGCCTCCGCCCGTCCCCTCCCAGGCCTTGCAGCACACCCTGGCTTGGGCCCCGCCCAGTCACCTGCCTCAACTCCCCAGCTAAGCCAGCTGCCCGCATCCCAGAACCTTCCACCTGCCGGAGCAGCTGCTCTGGCCCCCACCTCCCCAGGGCCAAGCCCTCCTCTCCCTCGTCACCATCCACACACCCTCTCGGCAGTCAGCACCCCGGCAGCCAGGCCAGGCTGGCTGTCCAGCAAGAATAGAGACCAGAGAGCCAGGCTACTGCCCAGAGTCAGGCCGGGGGAGGACAGGGTCTGAGTGGACCCCCGATGCGGAGGACCAGATGGAGCAGGGGGCAGCAAGGAGGAGGGGGCTGCCGAGGCCAAGGGGGAGCAGGAGCAGGGCTCCCATCGGCCTCCGCAGGGAGCCAGCTGCTTCCAGTTCCCGCTTCGCAGGAGGAACTTGGGTCCCCGGGTGAGCCACGAGCCATGTGTCAGCGGCTGTCCGAGATTGAGCAGCTGGCAAGGAAGGAGCTGAGGTGAAAGACGCCGCACCCAGTCCCTGCAGGGGAGGGAGCCCGCAGCCTTGCTGCAGCCCCGGGATTTACACACGCGCAGCCACGGGCTGGCAAACCCACCCAGCTGAGCACGGACTCGCGCCCAGAGCAGCCGGAGGGGCACGCTCACTGTAACATGGCATCCTCAGCGAGGGGTCTGCTGCGCGCCACTGCCCGGGTCAGCCCGCAGGAGCCTCTGCAGGAAGCCCCACCCCCACACTGGGCACCCCCAGATGGTCAGACCTGGTGTCCAGCACCCTGTCAGAGGAGTCCAGGCGCCTTCTGGCCTAACAAGGTAGCAATTTCCTGGCACAAAGGAGCCTAACGTTGCCCAACAATAACATTGCATGGTAACGTTCTAATATTTCAATATTGTACCGACGCTGTAACAGTGACGCACAGGGAGCTCGTGGGACACACAGTGCAGGCGCCCTCAGGTCACCCCGCCGCGGCCCAACGCCCCTTCGGGTGGAGCACCCACAAAGCACCTTTGAGTCCTGCCGAGTGTCCACACGGCACGCTGCCTGGACGACGCTGAGCACGCACTACACGCTGCCTGCCAGGCAGGTCACACTGCACTCACACCTCACTTCCTGCGCTACAGGTGCAGCCGCCACCCGAGCCGGCTGCCTTTCCTTCTCAGTGTCCACCAGAGGCACCATCC